GGGTAATTAATAAAATTGTTAGTTTTGTAACATTTTGAATTATGGTGAAAATGAAAAAGGATAATAAAAATTGGTTAAAAATAGTGATGGCAGCAGGTTCAGTAAATGTTTTTTCTTCCCGTTTTTTTACACACGCACCACTACAATTAAATAAAAGATAAATTGAAAGTTATAATATTATTTAGGGAGGATAATAAATAATATTGCTGATTAAGTAAATAAAGTTTTTTTTTTAAAGATAAGATTGTGTTTTATATTTATAGTATTAAATACATCATTCAGATAATTCCCATATGGTTTTTTAAAACTTATAAAGTATAAACAAGGATGAGATTACCAACGAAAGAATTTACTTTCTGAATATAATTTCTTATGAAATTAGGAATTTATTGATATTTTTAGAACCGAAATGAGTTCATTTCATGCAAAGGGAATGCTATATATTTGGGTTATGGAATTCAATGTGAAAAATAGTAATCAAATTAGATGAAATGGAAACAACTATTGACCATAAATTAAATTATATATATTATATTTTGTTTTTTTGAGGATAAATTGAAATTCAATTTGGCATGAACAATAATTCTCTCAATATCGTTATATACTTCCAACAAATGAAATTAATTATTTAATTGGAAATAATTCTTGTATTTTATATTTCATTTCATATTATTGATGTGGCAATTCTTAAATCAAAATAGATATTACTAAATTTATAACTTCTTTTATAATTATAATCTTACTACTCACTTTACTCTACCTTCTTCCAAATTTCTTATTAACTATTGAATATATATTTTTCTATTCACCCGTCAATTAAATATATTATATTATTTTTTCTTTATAAATAATCTTAAATTTTCATCATATTAAACTAACTATATATTAATATCCTAAATAATACATTAATTTAATTTATAAAATTAATTATAATCACCTGCTTTTATTAATTCTTTAATTTAATCATAACTACTATTTACTTTATATTTATTAATCAGTTAACATTTCTTATTCTAAAAATATTTTTGACCACCATTTTTTATTTATTTTTTTTTTAAATTCCATACATGGTTGCCATGTCTCCCCCCATCAGTGGGAGTCTCCCACAATTTTTTAGTTTACCCACATACATCTCACTCCCACAAAACTCCTACAATTAGAAATCTCCCACGAAAAGCTCCCATAATTTTTTAATTTCTCCCACAATTTTTTTTTTAGCATTTTAATGTTTTTAAATAAATAATAATTTTTGAGAGACAGTATTTGATTATTTTTATATTTTTAAAATAAATTTTAAATATTTATTCGAAAAATATGTCTAGTTATTTTATTTTATTTTTCCGCTCTAAAATATATTTTTTATAAAATTCTCCAATTCTCCACTCGACATTTTCAAAATTTTTGTGTTAGAAAGAATAGAAGTTAGAACAGTATGTATAATTATTATAAATATATTTTAAATTACTTAATATATTTTATATCGTTATCTAGAATTGCAGTGCTCCACTCGACATTTTCAAAATTTTTGTGTTAGAAGAATAGAACTTTTAGAAGTGGATATTATATCCCATATACCAAACAGATTTAAGTAATAAAATGTTCTATTTTGCTAAAAAAAAATTTCGAGGATGAAATGTCAGAAGCATATTTGGGATTAGTTTCACATGTAGGGAATCTACTTCATGTAGTTAATATTCAGTTGCAATCAGAAAATTCTTTATTGATAAAGATTCACAAAATCATGCTACAGCTCTGTTCATCTCTACAGTTAAAAATAGATAATAAATTTTATGGCGCTATTGCTAAAAATATCATATTAAAATGTTCAAATATTACTATAATTAACGTATTTTTAAATGAAGCAAATATTTTTATTAAGACAAATTTGGAATATTTACAATCAAGATTTGATTTTAATAACTCTATTTACAAGTGTATAAATATTATGACCTTGGAACAGAAACCATCATTTTATGGTTTTTGTAATTTAATAAATATATTAAAATTACCGATAGAAATTGAAGCCTTGTTTGAAGAGATTGTAATTTTTTCCATTTTTTGTGATTCGCCAGAATACTTAAAGTTAGATGGTCTAAAAGCAGAGGAGAAATGGGTGGAATTTTTTCGTAATAACGATAAATCCCCATGCTTGGAAAAAATTTGCGAGTATGTTTTCTCCTTACCTCATTCTAATGCCTCATCGGAGCGCATTTTTAGCCTGATGAGGACTGCCTGGAGAAAGGAGAAAAATCGAATTGCTTTAACAACATTAGAGGCCAAGTTAATGGTTAAACAAAATTATAAAATGTCATCCAGGAATTTTATAAATATCTTAATAACGACGGTAAACGTTTAGTTCCATTATTTAAATCTCAAATAAAATATAATTAACTATAACTATTTGACTTTCTATATTTTATAAAATCCTATTTATACATTTGCATAAAATCAAATAAATTTATTTTTTACATTGTAAAATTAATATTTTGAATATTTTGGCAAATCATAAAAATAAAGAAGCATTACAATCTCCTCAAACATGACATCATATTAAATCTTATTAATAATTATCCGATAATAGTAATAATATTCTTACTTTGATATTTCTGCAGCATAATTTAGTGATCCTTTATTAAATTATATCTTCTGATTGCAACTGCATATTAACAGCATATAGTAGATTTCCTATATGTAAAATTCCTGAATATACTTCTGCCATTTATTTTTGAAAATTTTTTTCAAAATATTAGGACAGCTTTTATAATCTATTTATTTTTTAAAGGTTTGTAAAATTTTAAAATTCTACGATGGCGCGTATTAGGAGGAACCTGTCAACCAACATTATGCTGACTCAATTCTGTAAATACACTCTGGTTTTTGCCAAATTCACTGAGGAATTATCAGATCAGAAAGCTGCCATGCAATTCATTGGTAATGCCAAATCTGGCATATTTATCATTATATATGGTTAGCTATGTCTTTGGATATTTCATATCTGGACAAAATTTTTTTAATAGTTTTATTGAAATAACATTAATTTTGTTGAAATAGGGGAGGATCAAGGGAAATGTTTTGATATCTCCTTATTAGATGCATCTGTTAGAATTGCATATGTTTGCACATCTTTCAAATCGTCTAGAATTGACCTTCTGGATTTATATCCTAAAACATTGATGATAGCCTTGCCCATTTGTGTTCTACAAAGTATACTTTTCATTTATATTAGTCGTTAAATATTATGAGGAAAATTCTACCAACATTGTGATGTTAAGTAGCTCTCTGAATGTTGTACTGCATGATAGGTATTTACCATTTCCGCAACTGTAGTTGCATCTGTATTATTTCTTATTTTTGAAGAATATTTTTGTTTTGCTATAGATGTTGATAGACTGCCCTGCACTGATTTATGCTTTGAAGATTTTTGATGCCTCAAAATATCATATTCCCTTCCCCCATTGTATTAACTAAATACTGTAGAACAACTTCCCCGCACTGATTATAATTATTTTTTACATTGTAAATTTAAAATTGTTTGTTTTTTTATAAAATCTTATTTATACATTAGCATAAAATATATTTTTTTACATTTGTAAAATTACAATTTTTTTATAAAATTTTATCTTGTTTACATTCTTTTGTATTTAAAAAAGATCGTTAGTTATTATTTTTTAACAAAATTAATATATTAAATCAATATGTTATTTTAATAATAAAGATAGTATTTAAGAAATTTTGTGTCGTACTATAATTACCTATTTTGAAAAATAGTTGCGTATTTTATTTTAGAAAATAGTTACTTGTTTTACTTTGAAAAAGAGTTGGATATGTTATTTTGAAAATAGTTGGCTATTTTATTTTGAAAAATAGTTGGCTATTTTATTTTGAAAAATAGTTGGCTATTTTATTTTGAAAAATAATTACCTATTTTATTTTGGAAAATAGATTCGATTTTATATTTATAAAAAATAATAAGCGGATAACTAAGTCAATTCTAAATCTTAGCAATTTTCATATTTCTCCCACAATATTTATATTACTCCCACAAAATACCGAATTTCTCCCACAATTTGAAAATTTTGACCTGACAACCCTGGTCACTAGCCTTTACAATCTGAGGGGGCTTAAAAATTATTATTTTTTGTTAATTTTTTTGAAAATGACCTTTTTTAACTAACAATTTCAAAAGGGGGCTTTTTAAATTTTTTAGGGGGCTCTAGCGCCTGCTCCCCCCTCTCCCCGTGACGCTACCAAAATGCAATATTTCTTTTAAATTAAATATAAAATCATCTTCATTTTTAGAATAAAGAAGAGAATTTTAAAAATTGTTAGATATTAAGTGATTTAATATTAGCTGAAAAACGAATAGTAAAATGCCAAATTGATATATTTTTAACTGGGCCTTTAATTATTTTAAATAATATGGGTCGGGTAAAACCCGGGCAAGGCCATGCAATTAGTACCTGCAAGTCTCTGATTTGAACCTTTTTTTAATTAAATAATATTTTTAAAATAATAAAATATTTTAAATTTCATAATAATATCGTTCATTTCAAAAATTACATTCTATCAAGTAACCAGTTACAAAATCACGTAATGATTCATTTAAAAGTGACTTCTCATTTACTTAATTTTCATATCAGACCATTTACTAAATACAAATTATTTAAAGTGACAACATTTTAAAGGAGCGGTGATGAAAATTTTAAAAATCTGAATTAATTGTACAAAAAAAACCGAGCCGGGTTGAAAAATTTTTGAAGGTTTCTAATATATAGCATTCTACCTGGTAATATGTCGAATAATTTCCAATTCATATTCTAAAATTAATATGATATTCAACTATTATTTTGTTAGTCTTAAGAGTTTGCATATAATTAATTTTAGTTAACTATTAATTGAATATGCAAATTCTTCAACAAATATACCCCCTTCCACTTTCTTTGGTTACGGTCCTGGGACCAATCATATATAAATTTATAGTTTAGATGTTAAAATATTACTTGACTTTTTAATTCGAAAAAATTCCTAACCATTTTTTTATCCGAGGCGTCCTCTATGCTCGTCATTTGCACATCTTGCACTTGCCTATATTTTTGTGCTTTTTTTATATTAGGAAGAAATAAGAGAAAAATTAAAATCATCCTTTAAGTTTCCTAGCCATGCCATTGCTAAATAATTAATAAATTAAGATTTCTTTTTCAAAGAAATATATATAATTATTTTTTTAGAGAATTTGTGATTGTGAAATTAAATAAACCGAGAGCTACATCGAAATCCGATTTTTCGTAGGGTAAAGCACTGAACACATCCCATACCTTTTTCAAAGGCTTATTAAAAAAAATTTTTATAAGAAAGCTTGTTTAAAAAAAATTTGTATATGTAAGTAACCTGTCTAATTTGAGCTCTTGTCAATCTAGAATAAATTTTCCACCTTTCTCACTTGTAATTGTTATAAACCACGATGGCGTTAAGGGCAGGGAGACTCAAACTACCTAAAAGTGTGTAGCCTAATTTTTTTTTATTATAGCAGCCACTTCAAATTAAGGTAGCCGCTTCAAGAAATTTGTAAACTACTTTTCATACCCTTATTAAATACGAATTGCAAATTTTACAGATTTTGGGACTATTTTATGCTAAATGAAATGGGTTCTTCAATTTATAAAGCAAACGACATCCCTGGTTATAAGATGAATGATCCATGCTAGAAATGTGGCTTCAAACTAGACTAGTTGTAATAACATAAAATTAATTGCGTGATGACTCACCGATGATTCGTCAGCTTCGTAACCTTTACGAATGAGCAATAAAAATTCGGGAACCGTCAATTTTCCGTCATTTCCTTTATTGACTATTTTTTATAATAAATTGTCAAAAGAAAATGAATTGAATATTCGAAAATCGATCAAAATATGTTAAATTTGACTAAAATTTTATCAATGTTTTGTTCCCATTTATAAATGAAAAAACTAGAGTTCTGGCCCGGCAGCCCATCTAAACATTCAGGGTATGACAACTTGTGCAAAATATTTCTATTAGTCTGCCCTATTTTCTTTCCTTCAAAATAATTAACATGGGTTTGAAATTTAAACTCAATTTCTTTTAATAGCAGTCGGGCAAGAAATTTAACTGGCCGGGCAAAAAATATTTTTTAAAATTTTAACCTTTTCCGGTCCAGATAGGCTAATTTCTAAAAAAAACGCAATATGATTTTTATTTCTCTAGAATTAAATTATATTTGCAAACAATGAATTAGTTAATAGGAAATTGACCCCCGGAATATTTGTCCCCCAGAAAATTAATCCTAGGAATATTGGCTGCAAAAAATGTTAAAATGTTAAAATTTTAATTTCAATTAATATTTTTTTTATATAGCACATACTATCTAGATAAGTATTAAATTTTAAATTTTTTAATCGTTTAGCACTTCAATATTACCAAATTAAATGTCACCAGAGCCTATCTTTTTGATAAAAACGAAGCAATCTTAAAATTTAAGGTAAATATGGAAAAGAGGGCCGAACTTACTTTGGAAAATCCTCTCTAAATATTTGGCAAAAAAGTTTCCAAATTAGACAAAAATTATTATAATATACAATAATAATTTCATATAATATATTTTAATATGGGAAATTTTTTTTGTCATTGTAGTTTAATTATTCTTATTCTTAATTAATCATAACTTAACAAAATGAAAAATTAAGACCGGGGATTTTTTAAATATTTAGAAAAATCAAAATTTCTAGTATACTTTCTTAGAATTCATAATGATATAAACTTAAAAGATAATTATATAGTTAAAATAACAAGATTATTATTGGAGGGAAATTTTTAGGGGCCAATTTTCCCGTAATTAATAAAAATTATTAAGTTTTAAATACGATTTATAAAAATTTAGATTAAAATGATCAAGGCTCCCACCTGAACTCTGAGTTATGAATTCGATTCATTGGACATTTGAAAGAATTAATCTGTTGAATATTTTTATGGGTTTGTGGCCCTGATAAAATGATATTTAAAAGTTTGAGGTAAACTAATAATTTATATGTCATTTTTAAGGTATAACTTATTTAAATTATCAGTAATATCTGTGTGACATGACGAGTTAAGTCTGATTATTATAAATTTGATTAAATTTATGCATCATGCTAAGTCTAATCAAATAGAATCAAACTAGTAAATAACTCTTTTTGTATTTGAATAATTCGAAACAAATTATTAGAAATAATTATTAATATGTTTGTAATAAAAAGAAATTATTTGACATTTATATTGATAACCTGTCAATCTAACAATATGTTTAAAAAAGGTAAATCAATCACTTGTAAAAGGCTTTTCTCAGTTGAAACTAATCTGCTGTCAAAAATCGCATCTTACAAAGAAGAAATAAGAAAAATTCTTTACCTTAAAAATAGGCCTTGCATTATAAATTAAAATGCATTTTAGTTATTCTATTATTCGTATTGGTTTTTAAATAGGTCTATGGAGGATTAGTATAAAAAAATAGGATTTTTTATACTTAAATACTTAACTCATAAATATATATTTTACCTAATTTGATGCAATCTTTAATTGTCAGATGAGGTAAAGGGCATCCCATTTTTTCAAATCCCGCTTTTATATCATCGTACCCCAATCTTTTATCCAGGTCTATATCCATTTTGAAAAACATTTCTTCGAAAACTTTGCATTGTCCAGGAGGGAATACGTCCAAAAATTCGGGATATAAATTAATCCTTTTTTCCAAATGCTGCATGTAAAGCTATTTTTAAATAAAAATTCAGCTTTTTATTTTGAAAGCAAAAACGAAGAATTTAAAAGGGGGGAATAAAAGGATTAGGGAAAAATACACCCTAGGAAAAAAATTATTGATTAAATATTGGTGTTTTGCTATTGCTATTGCCATTATCATTTTTATTTTGTTTATCATCAATCAATGTTTCACAATAACATAATTATAAAAAAATTTTTTATTGGAGTAGAGAAATATATGTTTTCATTATTATTTTCATACCAAATTATTGAAAAAGAATCGCATCCACTTAAAACATTAATTTTTATTCAATTTTGAAAAATTCGGAGATGTATATTCCCGTTGAGGTGAAAGAATCTCGCAGACGATAAAATATTAATTATTGTAAATAGATATAAAAAATTTGTCATTTTTTTTAAATATTATTGCCAAAGAAAAAGAAATTATGTTTTAATTCTCAAACACGTATGTAATCATTCTAATAAACGAAATTAATTTTAAAATTATCTTTTTCTTAACTATAAAATATTTACAATTGAAATCTATTACATTTTGAATAAAACAAATTTATAATCAAAAGATAAATTAATATTTTCGAATTTTTTCTAAGTTTAAAAAAATAAATAGGATAAATTTACTTTTTAAAGGAAATTAAAATGAGAATATATAAAATTTATAAAGGTCATTTATATTATTTTCATTCAAATTTAAGTACTTTATATTAATTTATTAGACTAAAAGCCTTCCCACATAATGTATGGACGAATTAAACAATATTGTTAAATTTTAAAAAAAAAGAGTATGAAAAGGGAATGATGCTTTCGAAACTTTTTTCAAATCTGTTCTGGAAAGTTCCGAAAAATCGTATAAAAATTTTGATTTTATTTATTACAGAATTATTCTATCTAATTTTCCATTTTTATACAAGTACCACTTTAAATATTGTAATACTTATTTTCAAAACTGTTAGAGATAGAATACAATATTTTTTCACTTTAAAGTTCTTACCGAAAAAAAAATTGGTAAACAATTTTTCATATGTAATGGAATCAATAGTTTTTTTTTAGAAAACTTTTCTTAAAATTAGTAGAGATGGAAAAAAACCCAATTCCAAATTACAAAATCGGTGCTTTATCTTCTGCATCCACATAAAATTAATATTTTAAAAAAAATTATCCTATAAAATTAATTTCAATTGGTAATTTCTAAAATTCCATTGAACGATTTTATAAGTGAATGCCATTATATGCAATGCTTGAACATCTTTTAAGTAGGATAAAAAATTTCTAACAAAATAAATTATATCTAAAAACTAATATTTTTCTTAAAAAATTGACCAAAAAAGTAGTTTGAATGTAATTGCTAAAATTTTAAAATAAAATGGCATATATATAAAAAAAAATATCTAAAAAATTATTTATTAAGGAATTAATATAAACTGGAAAAAATTTAAGCATCAATCTAAAATATTCCACTTTTTTTTAGTTTACAAACAATTTATATGATATCTCTGGTATTATTGGATTCATCTTTATTTTAACGTTTTTCATTCTTGGGGTCTTGGAATTATTTGTGGCGTGGTTTATATCGGATCACGATGATTAGTTTATAAAATGAGGCTTTTGGATTTTCTTAGTTATTACTGTATCTGTTAATTGATGCAATAGAGATTTAAAAGTCGAGAAAATTTTTAATATTCACAAAGCTCTTTATCGTTTTTTAGATGATATGTATTGGATGGATTTGACGTATTGACTATTGGTAAAAATCGCAACAAAACAACGGGACTGTAATTCCATTATTAGAAATGGTCTAAGATACATAATTTCATTTGATATCATAAAAATAGCCTTTCCTATCTGACTAATAGAAATTGTTGATTTCCTGTATATTAGAATGTCTCATTTTAGATAAAAGATCTTTAGGCGATATCGTTTTCGTAATGTCCTGATATTCATGCTTACCATATCGCACAATATACTCCTTTATTGATATTGCAGTACGTTGTGTTGTTAGATTATGAGTGTTTATTTATAGAAAAAAGATGAACTATTTAAATTATGGAGTGCTAAAACACTAAATCAAAACATGAGAGCTACCTCTTCGTCATTCATTCGATCGAAATTAGTTTCCTTATTTTCTTCATGTTTTTATATTTAATTGTAAAATCATTATGAGTTTATTATATTATATACTCCTAACAGATGTCACATTTATCCTTTTTGGGATTATAACCCTAAATTAAAATCGTAAATGGATATATATCGATAAACGGATTTAGTATTTTTTGATTTACACTTTTATATATTTCATACATAATATTTAAATCAAGTTCTGCTGTAAATAATATTAATTAGTCCTTCTATAATGTGATTTATAATAACAGGAAATGACTTGATAAGAGCTCAAACCTTTAAATATGCTGAGTATTTTGAAAGATTCCCTTATCTCGAAGAAATATGAAATTGTCTGTTAATATATATTTAAGATTTACAAAAATAAATTGTTTATATACTCGCACTTTTGCTTTTTGTGGTTAAAATGATAAAAGACTAAATTTTTGCAAGGAAATTTCACTTTTAACCTAAATCTTCTTTTTAAACAAAGCAAAAAAGTTTAAACCAATTTTTTTTCAAATAATAAAAAATTTGATGCTAGTATATAATATAATACTCATAAAAAATAAAACGTAGGATTTAGAATATTGTTACGATTCTTATTTTACTTAGAGTGAAATGGAATAATATATTACTTGAAAAATTTAAAAAAAACAGTATAGTTTAATTTATAATGTGTATTTATCAGGGATGTGAAGCCTTCGACAAAAAAAAAGGGTCCGGGTTTGGGTAATAGAATAAAATTTTAAAGGACCCGAGGTCAGGGTTCGGGTTCAGGTTCAGGGAACATAAAATAATGACTCAAAAAATATTTTTTTTAAATTCATTTATTATTATACTTCAATACATACATATTCATAATTTACAAATGAAAAATTTAAAAATGAAATAATTTATATTTTAAATGATTTATTCTCGCACAATCATAATATCTTCTAAAATACCATCCTTGAGATTTCCACGTAAAGTAGACAATATATATTTCAAAGATGAAAATTCACGTTCTACCCTTACCTAAAATAGATAGTTATCTTTATAAAATTATTGTACTTGTGTCGTCGGTACAGCCATGAAGATTCTAGATAAGATATATAATTCTGAATATATTGAAGAATTTTCTTCCCAGAATTTTAAAATATTTATATCCTTATTTATTCTCTTAACTTCTGAGAACTTTACTATTGAAGATGCAATAGGCATTTTTGATCCTCCTTTCTATCTGATGATAATTTGATTTTTTTTTCTCTATCTTAAAGTAAAATTTCAAGATCATCAATGTTGCTATCATTATTATTATCGATAATTATTATCTACAACCAATAGATATTGTCTATTGTAAATAATGGAGTTTTGTTTATGCCATAAATCCTTAAGATGATCTTTAGCCGTTTGTTTTTGCTCAATACTTAATAAAACTTGATATCGAGGGTCTAAATATATAGAAGCGTATACAACACTATTTTGTAAATATTGTTGCTCTCGAATTTTCATGTTTTCTAATATTTCTTATAAAATGGACTGTAAATTTTTCTAAATCTAATCGGCATCTAATCCATATGCCTTAAAATCAAATAAACATAATTGTTCTGATTGTAATCTTAATATTGGGCGGACTGGCCATAAGGCCCGTGGGCATTTTGCCCACAAGGCCGCGAGAGAATGTCAATTTTTGAGGCCGTTCAGAGGAAAATATCAAAATTGAGGCCGAGTAGAAAAAAATTATTATTATGTTCACATTATTTTCTCTTATCATATATTTATTTTTAATGATATCTCTATGATTTGAATATCACATTCCTTGAGAATTGTCATGTCGTTTACTATATTTTAATCAGGGACCCGGAGTGAACCGTAACGAACAGTTAAACCATTATAAACCGTTATAAATATCTGAACCATAACCGTAACCGAACCGATATAATTATTTTTTGAAGGAGTAAAAAGAACCTTTATAAAAAACGGGCAAACCGGTTCAAACCGGTTCAGTTTTTATATTTTAAAAATGAAAATAATTTGAATATCCAGAATTATATAAACTTGCTCTTATAGTACTGGCGGTTCCCGCAACACAAGTTTCTGTAGAAAGGGCTATTTAGGGGCTAAAATTTGTGTTATCGTCACAACGAACAAAAAGGAATCCATTTATATTAGAAAATATATTACTTATACGTTCAAATAATATATTTAAAAATGAGTTATTTTGAATCTTATATATTTTTTTTATATATAATTCGTAGAAGCTTATAATAAAAATAAATTAGAAGATGGTGTTGCTTCAATAAAAAAAAAATTTCTAACCGTAATGAACCTTTATAAACCTTTATAATTAGCTGAACCGAACCGAACCTTTATAAATTTCTTCTTAAGAACCGTAACCAAAACGTAACCATTATAATTTTTTACATACTGAACCGTAACCAAACTGAACCGTTATAAATAACGGTTTGGGTCCCTGATTTTAATGCATAATATATCAATAACGTCGCTTAACGCTACACATCATTACCACGTACTTTTCTTTGTTTTTTTTCAAATGAAGTGAAAATGCTACCGTTTGAGTAGAGTGAAAGCTAAGTTTTGATTAATTTATTATATTATATTTTTATACATTGATTTATTGTAGAAATAATATAGCCAACATTTTTTGTTCTTAATTCATTGAAATCAAATAAAAGACAGGTCGGTGAATCAGATAAAAGGATGGATGCTTGGGTGAAACAGAATAATTCACCTGGCCAAAATAAGTTGAGTAGGCTGCAAAAAATGGGTGCGTGAAAAAGCCCTTAGATTGATATATGCTAAAGAGAGCTTGCTCCCAATAACGATAAAGGCACTTCAATTTATAATAGATAATAAATAATTTGAGACAAAAACTTGATAATTTATGTAAAT